GATAGATAGATAGATAGATAGATAGATAGATAGATAGATAGATAGATAGATAGATGTGGTTCAAAAAGAATGGTTTAAAAGAATTAGGGGTCAAGGACAATTCAGGTACAATAAAAAAGAGGGGGCAGAAAAGACTGTAGTTAGATGAAGTAGGCAGAAACGACGGGTAATCTTTGGAACGGGCCCAGTCACTTGGGTCTTTATTTTTTGTATTTGCATTTTCTTCTTCTTCTGTCCTGTTGCTAAACCACCTACACTGAACCACCAAAATGATGAATATTTTGGTTTATTCTCTACAGATCTGAGGAGCACGAGACGAGGCAAGTCTGTTGTGAACTTCAATATCCCCTATTTACCTCAACACGAGAAACTGAGAACTGCAGAGGTTCGGTTTCTTAGACATCCGGACAACAACGCCAACTCTCGCAGATACAAATTCCGAATACACATCCGGAAAAACGGCAAAATCGCCGGCAAATTCGTCGTTCGGCAACGGTGCGTGGCGCAAGGAGAATATGATGTGTTTGACGTCACCGATATTGTTCGTCCATGGATAAACAGTTACCATGGTAATATAAGCTTGCAGATCCGAGTTTCTAAAAAACTGCAAAGACAAACTCTTGTTGCTTTGAAGGACACCTCACTGCAATCTACATCACTGATTGTGCTGTACCTTGAGGACAGCGAGTTTCTGAAAAATATGTACACTAGCTTCACAGAAGATGATATTGCTGAACATTCAACGCACAGAGCAAAAAGAGACCTTTCTCTAAAAGAAAATCAACATATGGGAACTGATATATTCGATGTATTATCCAACTCTACGATTTTAACGAAATTTCGTGTGAGAAGAGATTCGAAAAAAAATCGACGTAGAAGGACTCGCAAGAATCGAAAATGGTTCCGAACAGGTCGAAAAGAGAACTGTCAAATATATGACTTCGAGGTCGACTTCAACGCTATCGGCTGGGGGCAATGGATTATTCACCCAAAGAGATTCAACTCTCGTTTCTGCTTCGGTCAGTGTCCATCTCCGATAGACGTGAAGTACAAGCCCACCAACCACGCCATGCTCCAGACCCTGATGAGGATGAAGCGGCCCAATGTAGCACCGCTGCCTTGTTGCGTGCCCACCCGCCTGAGTCCTGTGAGCATGCTGTACTTTGAGTACGACGAGATCGTTGTGAGACATCACGAGGACATGGTCGCTGATGAATGCGGCTGCAGATGACGTACGAGAGCCTAATTTTCCACCAAGTGACTTATTTTTTCCAAGAAACGTCTACAAAATAACTTGTTTCTCCGTAAAACTATCACAAAAGTGATCTGTTTCTCAATGAAACTATCACAAAAGTGACTTGTTTCTCCTTGAGATTTCCACAGTTTTGACTTGCGTCTCCGAGAAGATGGCTCAAGAAGCACAAAGATTATTGAAATGCTCCCAAGCATTTGCCGTGCAACTAGTATAGACGCCCAGGCTAAAACAAAACGTTTTGCAGTGAAGTAAGCCAAACACGTTAACAAATATGCGTCAGAACATTTGTTAAAGGTGAATACAGATTTCATCATAACTAATATTATGGTCCTCCACACGAACTCGATAGTCTATATCTGAAACACTCCACAGCAAAACTCATACAGATCCAAACCAAAAATACTCGACTGAGAAAATGTAGGTTGAGCAATGACTATGTAGATCACGATCTCCACTAACTAGGAACGTAGAAAAGAGTTCTTTCTCTGCAGAAGCCCCATTTATTGCGGCAGCTTTTGAGACTTAAGAAAATACACCATCGGGTGTCACTCGAACAAGAACATGTGTAAGGAACAACTTGTTGTTGATGTAAAGCGGGTTTGTGCCTTAGCTCCTGGTTTCTAAATCGGCTGATATAATTTATTCAGACTGCTTTTATGCATTGCTCTGTGTTCCTTAAAATATTATGGACATGTGGGCTATTTACAACTTTTTTCTCCAATCGATGTTAAGAGAACAACATTATTATATCCTTTATTTTAGACATGTGACGTCTGGCAGAGCTAAGAAAAGAAATCACGATCTTAATATCGTCGAAAGCTAGAATTTGTTTCAGGTTCGTATGCAAAGACACAAAACCAAAGGTGATTTAACTGTTGCATCGGGCCCAGTCCCCAAAAGAAAGAAAGAAAAGCAGTTCATTATGACCATTCAATAACTGCACTAGTGCAGTTAAATTTTCGCCGCGCAGAGTGATGAGGTTCACTTCACTGTTCTACGTACGTGATGTACATAAAAACATAATGTGTGTGTGTTGTATATGTTTATTGGTGCATCCATTTAATAATATATATGCTCCACATTTTATGAGGCATGCATTAATTACATGTAAGTTAAATGGATCAATTGGCTGCGTTTTACATCTTCTTTTCGACTCTAGGTAATTTCCCCTCATTATACAAAGTGGTACCTCAGAATTACAAAGTTCTATCTGCACGGTACCTAGTTTTGAGAAATTTGACGTCAACGATTTTGAGTTACACGTCATCTCAAGCTTTTTCGAATGCAATTCTTTGAATATATGAATAATGACTCCGGATAATCTTACAATTTGGATAGAACAGAAAAAATATTTGGTTTCTGACCTCGGGGTCTTATTAACTGGAAACGGCCCAAAAATGTCAAATACAACTTTGTAATTCTGAGGTAGCGAACGGTCAAAGGTCACATGACAGAATCTGACTGTAGACACAATGACGTAAATATCCAGGAAAAGCAGGACACGAACCCAGGACCTCATGGCACTGTATAACATGATTGAAATAGCGCTATCTATCAATGATGATTCCTTGCCAACGTGTTTCTCATTAAAGGCATATTCATTTTATTACTTTATCATTAAAATTATCATCATTATTATTGTTTGTTATTGTTATTATTATTATTATTATTATTATTATTATTATTA